CGCCAAGGCGACTGCAAAGACACAGCTACTCGAGCCAGAGGAAGATGAAGATCTTTTTGAATCCGCCGATTTAGCTCAGCAATTCCAGGAGAAGTCAGAATCTCCCCCTCCTTCGAGGCAAGCTCCAGTGAACAAGGTTATGACACCAGCTCAATTTGAACGATACAGACAAGATCAAGAGCGTTTGAGAAGCGTTGGGGGGCGCCCGAAAGATGAAGAAGCTGAGGAGGAAGAGGAAGAGACTTATGATGACGATGAGGACGAAGCCGAGAAGAGCAAGAATGCTGCCAAGCAACGACGAAAGCAGGAGGCTCACATGTCAGTATACAGACAACAAATGATGAAAGTCACTGGGGATTCGACACCTTCGCCAGGCCCATCCCGACCTTCAATGTATAGCAGTCAAAGTACTCCCAACTTGGTACTCGACGGTGCGACAGAGGATGGAGAAGAGGAGGATGAAGAAGTTCCTTTAGCCATTCTTGCTGCTCATGGATTCCCAAATAAGAACAAGCCACCTACAACCAGACTAACTAGCATGGGATCAAACCCTAATCTTAGAGGTGCTTCTCAAGGTGTTCCGGGTATTGGAGGACCTTTGCCTGTGTTTGCTCGCAACTTGCCTCAAGACCCCTATGTTGGTGCAGGCCTCGTTTATCCAGCAAATAGGGAGTCGCTGGCATTCGGAAATGGTGGCCCAGGGTCTGTCAACGGCACTCCAAACAGAGGTGCTCCTCCAGGAGGTCTCGTAGGTGTCATTGCCACGGAAGAACGCTCTCGAGCCGCGCGAAGAGGAAGCCCAAACCCTGGATATGGTCAGATGCCTCCTGGCGGTTTCACTGGTATGGTTCCTCCACCAATGATTGGACAGGTGCCCATGGGAGGGGGTGCATTAGGTATGGGCCAGATGGGACCTATGGGAGGCATGCCTCAGCCAATGCTCACTCCTGGTGATCAAGCTCAGATCAGGATGACGGAACAAATGCAATCATTTATGCAGATGCAAATGCAATTTATGCAAATGATGGCAACGAACCAAGGTGGACAAGGTACTCCACCCCCCAGTGGCGCGCCACAGCTTGGTCCACTGGGTCAATTGGGACCAATGGGTCACATGTCTCAGCCAAACTTTGGTGAGATGCAACGACCTTCAAGTCAGCAATTGCCTACCAGCAACTCGGGCCCAAATCTGCGACCCGGAAGCGCACAACGTACTATGAGTATGCTTGAACCTGGCGGCATGCCTTGGTTGCAGCAACAAAATGGACAAGGATTCATACCATCGGCACACACTCAAGGCAACGGTTATGCTCCATCAATAGCGCCATCCGAACGAAGCAATGTTGGATTGCCTGGTCGATATAGACCGGTCTCACAGATTCCTCTCACCGATGCCAAATCAAGAACCGCGACCATGTCTGGTGCAATCGGTGGTTGGGACAGCAAGAATACCTCGACAATCAAGACTGTTCAGAGAGTAGATAATGATGATGAAGATGATGAGGAAGGGTGGGCGGAAATGAAAAAGAAAAGAGAGCAGAAGAAGTCTATTTGGAAATCAAAAAAGGATACTAGCGGTCTCTCGGAAATGCTTGGTTACACGCAATAATAATCTCATGGGTGGATAACTCGCTATTAGATGCTTCTGCATGTGCATTTGAAGGGGATAGCTTTGTGATATATAGCATGAAAACTTTGGCGTTGTAAGACTTGGGGCATTGAACTGGAAATCATACCTATGGCATGACTGCTTGTATAGTAGTAATATAATTTTCTTCAGATTTAGGCGAGGGTTTTTTTGGATCTTTCTTTTTGTTTTAATGATCGAACTCATACCGCCAATTAATCAACGACTTTTTTTTACCACTCTTTTTTCAGTGCAAACATATGCGGTCCTTGGTGAATCAAATCTAGAAGCAAAACGTCGCATCAAATGCTCTAATCACCTAATGATCCATACTCCTTCCTTCACCACTCAAGCCAAACTATGAATAGCATCACATTCCCCCTCATGCAATCTTTCCGGCAGCCCACTCCCTCTTCTTAACTCCCAATTCCACAGCGGCAGCAGCCCAATCCTCTCCATGATTATGGCCCTTCCCCTTCTCGGTTGTACCTACACCCGCTCTCATGAGCGCTTGATCCTCCGTAAGAACCGTCAAGAGTCCAAAAATAAGAGGAACACCAGCGTCTAATTGGATGCGCATGAGACCCTGCGAGACGCTCTCGGCTATGTATTCAAAATGCATGGTTTCGCCTTTGATGAGGCAGCCGATGGCGATGATGGCATCGAAGGGGGCGGTGGAGGCGGCGGTTTGCGATTGCGTGGGGAGGGAGGTCAGGTCGGTGGTGGAAGAGCCGAGGAGGTCGCCGGCGGAGAGGGAGGAGCTTTGCGTGGATTGGATTTGAGAGGCGGAGTAGAGTCTGGGGAGGGAAGGGGGTGGTCAGTTTTGTTTGTTTGTTTGTTCGTTTGGGGTTTGGGGGAAGGGAGGGACGAGGGGGGGATTCATGGTTTATGGTTCATGGGAAATGCAAGTCAAGAGATGTATGTATGTACGAATGGATGGATGGATGAATGAATAGCAATGGAATAAAGATATCACGTACTTGGAACACGCAATTGGCAATTCCCAACTCCCGGGCACGGATTGCACGACAATGTTTGCTTCCTTGACGCCGCTGGCCAAGAGCGTCTTCTTCGTACCGGCGAGGAGCGGCTCGATTATGGCTGCGTGGTGCGTGGTTAGTGAATGATGCGATGTGGTGCAGTATGGTATGGTTTACGGTACTAATTGGGGTTGGAGGGAGGAGAGGAAGATGGGAATTCTGGGGCGGCCGGGAAGTACTCACAGGTATTCCAGCGCGCGTGGACGATTCCGATGCGGAGGGCGCTGCCGTCGTGTTTTTGGGCTTGGCCGGGTCCTTTAAGGGAGGTGTCCATTTTTGGGTTTGGGATTTGGAGTTGAGGGTGCGTAGATGGGGTTGGTTGAGGGTTGATTGAGAGTTGGTTGAGGGTTGAGTTGATTGACTGATTGATTGATTGACTGATTGTGTGGATGAATGATTTAGTTGTGGTCTGGAGAAGTCGGAGGGGTTTTTGGTGGGGTGGATGAGGGTGGCAGGTAGGTAGGTGCATTGATCAATTGATTAGTTGGAGCTCAAGGTTGAGCTTACCGGTGGTGCCGCAATCTCTCCTGGTTGCACATAGCTGGTAGGTAGGCATGCACTGTTTCCAATATTCGATTGAAAATGAAGTATTCATTCTTTTACCTTGGAATTCTTGCAATCTTGATTAGAATTGTTGGATCTACTCGTCTATTAGAGGTGATACAAGTTGAAATATTATTATGGTTGTTGTATAACATCACAATGCTAACATTTTCAATCATTCATACCATTGAAGGAGCTTGGACCATCTACACCTCCCGCCACCCAGGGCCGTTTCAAACCCAATTCCAGAAGGTGCACGACGGTAAGATGGTAAGATGGCACTTTCCGTGTAGGAAGGGGTTGTTTTGATATGAAAGCTGTAGAGATACTTATTACATACACTGGGACATACGCTTGCTCGATTTTATTCGTGAATTGGTGGTAACCTTAATTGATAGCAGAGTTTCTCGGAGTTCTTATTTTAATTTACTTCAACACAATGGCGTCGTCTACCACTCCTACTCCTGCATCCCAGCCCACTCGTGCTTCTTCAACACCGGGACCTTGGATACGATTGAATAGGCTCTCTTATTCCCAGTTGCCCGGGGCAGGTATAGGTATTGAAGCAGCCAGTGGAGCTATAAAACCTTTGAACGGTAGTGTACATCCTACTAAAAATGCGAAGACATTTATCGCGGCAGTACTCGAAGAGGCGATCCCGTTTTTCAATGGAATGGTCCAGAATGAGCCACCCTGGACATCGCTCAAGTCCAAGACGGACGTTCAGTTGTATAAACGCGTCGTTTCCAAGGAAGAACTAGATTATTGCAATGGGACACACGATAAAGCAACAAAGAAAGCAAATGAGGAAGGGGAGACTTGGTTTGCTAGAAGAAGTATTCATGAGAATAAAGCGGAAGCAAACACAGCTTCTTGGGACGAGTTTACTCTCCACATCAAGCAAGAACACTTTGAGAGAGAGAAGGATTGGTGTCACTCTGTGCTCGCCAGTAGCAGAAGAGCTATGTACTGGGAAACGAGCGACTTCGAGATTGTGGCTGGTGAAAAGCAATGGAACAACATCTCAATGGAAGTTGTAGAAATGATTCATAAGCCACCAGTTGTCTCTGAGCGAAAGTTTCCTGAGGTACTGATTACTGCATCACTTAACGAGCCTGGACAAAGCGAATTTTTGGTTATTTCAATACCCATAACCGATTCGGCCAATGTCCGATCCCCAGATCCCAGCTTTCAAGATTCCGGTTTCGCTTCCGCCAAAAAGAAAGGTCAAGTTGTGGGGGCCTACGCATCGATTGAACGATGTTGTCTTCGTCCTAACCCTAATAGTATAGCTGGGGAGATAGAGTGGATAATGGCTACTGCTGTAGGAATCCTCTGTAAAAATATGTGCTGTATATTTGCTAACTGATGCATAGTCAGATGCCAAAGGTTGGATACCTCAGCTGATACAGAAGCCCGACATACCGGGCCAGATTAAAAAGGATGTGAGTATGTACATACGTTGGGTCGAAAATCAAAGGAGATCAATACCTGACGACCTTCCACGATGAACATAATGGCAAAAATGATCATAGACGGAGCGCCGACATTGATCGAAAAACTCCAAGGACTAATTTGATCAGAAATGTTCCTGCATGACGAGATCAATCCTCTAATGGCGACGACAGTCTGATGGTAGTGTTTCCCAGCATCATCTAGCACTTTGCTTGGATTTGAGAAATTGAATGGTTTTAAGCGTGGATGATTTTGCTTGCTGGATAGTAGCATGAAGCGATATGCGAAAGGGGGATAGGGGTTCGTTAATGATTGCTATTCTTATAAATAACAATTCAAGCGTTTAAATTACTCCTCTGAGCCCAGAGCTCTTTTATTGCCATCGCTGTTCCCTCAACAATAAGTCTGTGCTCCTCTGCGTGCATTCTCGCCTCAAGTTCCTCTAAAGATTCAGAACTTTTGCACTCCACTTCTTTGACCACGATTGGTGTTCCACGATCAACTTCACTGATCACATAATGAATCATGAGGCCCGTCTTGTTATTCTCCAACTTGCCCTGTTGGAAATCATTGAAAGCCCGTCCAATAGCATTAGCTCCATCATATTTGCCTGGAAGTGCTGGGTGAAGATTTATGATTGGTATCTTTTTAGCAGTCAGGGGGTCAATGAATGTTGGTGCGAGAATGTGCATCCAGCCAGCACAGATAATCTAGTGATTGTTAGAATTTTTACTATATGAGAGACGTGAAAAGTGATTTGGAGACTGAAGACGGTCTGAATATTGAAAGAATCAAGAGGAGCAATAATGAAAGTGGTCACTCACAATATCAGGTTGTTCTGAAATCACGAGATCCGCGAGGTCCGCATCATACTTTTCTCGTGCGGCTTTTATCACTGCGGGGTCCTTTTCATCTTTTTTATGGTATTTTCCCGTCAACAAATTGTGACATGTTGTTGGTATGCCCGCCTCTGCTGCACGAGTAACTCCATACGCCGCCTTTCTATTTGTGATGACTCGAATTATCTTCAAATACGGCAAGGTGATCTCCGAGTCATTGGTCCCTTGCGAAGCATCAATCAGTGCTTGGAGATTGCTGCCATTTCCAGAGATGAGAACTATGGCTTTGGTTGGAGGAGGTGACATTTTTGCGTCGAGATGGAACTGCCTGGTAAGGAGGTTGTTGTGTTGATGTAAAGTTTAGTTAATATGGTTGATTATAAACTATATGTCACTGTAGAAAGCGAGTGTGGGCCTGCCTGTGAAGAGGGGTATAAAATGAAATAAAAACTGTGAGGTGGGGAAATGAAATATGAGAGTTGGGGGACTACTTGGTGGAGTCTATGGCGATTTAGGGCTGGACTAGTAAATATAAGTATAGACAAGGTTCTACTTATATTTACGATTATCCGGTTCCAAGACTTTGCAATATGGCTGATGGTGAATGGACTTAATGTCTCTCTTACATATTTTCTACCTAGGAATTCTTACTATTGCCCACAGAACTCCTTGATACTTGCGGGAGAAAAAGTTGACAAGTTCAAATCGATGGTGGGGTCTCGGGTTGCCAAGGAATATATTTTGCTAGCTCATTATCGGATTATGTAAGATGCGAAATGAGGCTAGAACTAAGATGGCTTCGGATTCAGCCTTATCGAACGAGAAGGCTGTACCTTGATTTCTCTCCAACAAATAATCCTTAATGCAAACCAATACAAGTTACAGCCTCGATTCTTACTTCAATTCCAATTCCTAATAACGAATTTCACCATAATGGCTATCGAAGAGATAATTACAGACCCATCCCTCAAGCTTGCACTTGAAACTTCGAATCAGACGCGGGAACAAGCAATTGCTCTTCTAGACTTCGTATCGGCTGCATCTACAACCTCCCCTCCGTCGAACGAAGTTCTACTACAGATTTCTAAACAACAAAAACTACTCCTTACATACCTCGCACAATTGAGAGGTCTACATCGTGATTCTCATGCCGGCGCACGAGAAACAAAAGCTTTAACCGCGGAAGCGCGTCAAGAAGTAGATAGGCTACATTTACAACTTCAAAATCTATACTATGAACAACGGCATTTACAAGGAGAGATTGCTGCTTGCGAATCATATGAGTTAGTTTCCAGCCAATTTTATAAGTGTGAAACTAGGCAGTGTCGCTAATTTTATCTTCTACAGTCATAAATATCAGCAACTTCCCCTGATACCAGTCGACGAATTCTTAGCGCAACATCCTGAACACGCTGACGCTGATGAGAATGCGCTTATGATTGCAAGAATAGATCATGAACATCAGGAAAGATTGAAGTTGGAGGAACAGAGACAAGGGCTTTTAAAGAAGAAACAAGGCTTGATTGCCGATAATAAGAAGAGAAAGGATGATCTAGCCAACCTTGACAAAGATTTGGAAAAGTTTATCGATGTGAGTTTAGACCTTGTTGCGGCTATATTCTGAATATTGGAAAATCCTCATGCTGATTGATAACAGGCTGCGAAACCGATACAGAAAACCTTTGAGCGTGTGGTATGAGAAGGTGGATGATTGGAAGATTAAAATTGTACCTGCTTATGGTAGAAAATTCCCTCCTTCGCGGAATTAGGGACGACCATTGAGATGTCGTCGCAAGCTGTGCTCCCGGTATGGTAACAAAAATAGGTACCATCAACTCAAGAAGCGTAACACGAGTGAGGCTTTGCAGAGGTTGTGGATAGTGGAGAGCGATGTTGGGGTTGAGGGGACCTGTCACTGGACTCGGATTAAATACGTAATCTAGATGTACGATATAATATAAACATCAAAAACAGATTTGGAACCTGACTAACATGCTCCCTGGGACTTTCTGGTACCTCGGAGTGACATTTCAATTTTTCATATGTTATATATTCATCAGCCCAAGCTTTCCTAGTCTCAGCTTAACTTGGCAATCAGCACCGATTGGACGCCGGGCTTCTCAGATGCTGACATTCGCATTCTGGCCTTGATTTTCAAGCCACGCGTCTTGCCATGCTCTACAGTTGAGGAGTCAAGAGGAAACCGACCTTGATAGTGTACCTGGAGAGGTCAACATCGGTGCAACCCGTGTACTGGGAGAACAAACACAAGCTACTAGAAAGCCACATCATATCACAGGAAGTCCGATATTGACATACAGGAAACAGATTTTCTGAGTTTAGCGGTGGCGGACAAGGAAATTTTCCCGAGAGGTCTGAATATTAATAGGCAAAGAGCTGACAGCAAACAGCCATGAAGTCTTGGCTGGCTGTTCAGAGAGCAAAAACTCATCTGGGCGTAATTTTCATGGAAATATTGTTGGTTCGCTCGAATTAGCGGTTGTGGGACAATGACTCTGCTTACTTACTTACCATGTTTGCCGTTTCTACTACCTGGATTTCTCTTTCTGTTTCTGTATTCGTTCGTGTCTTGGTTTGATATTTCTTCTGGAATACATAGCGTCCGATATGATTGTTTGAAATATGTTGAGATTTTTAATTGCATGGTTTGCGCTACTCGTTGTGGGTGGGGGTAAGGTTACGGCGCAGTCGAGCACTACGTCGAGTGCAGTGCCGACGCATGTGGTTTCGGTTGGCATAGAAGGATTGCAGTTTACGCCGACGGAGTTGAGTGCGAATGTTAGTGATGTGATAGGTATGCGTTTTGCAAAAGGAGTCTTTATGTTGAGTCTGGTTTGGAGGATAGCGCGTTATACTAATCGATGAATGAATTGTTAGAATTTCGATTTTATCCTCAAAATCATTCGGTTGCGAGAGCAGAATATGGAAGCAATAGAGCGTGTATTCCATATGAAGTTACGGGCGTCAACAAGCGGGGGTTTTGGAGTGCTTTTCATCCGATCAATGTGGTTTTAAATGATGTTTGTACATTCATTGCGAATATTTGGGAATGCCATTGCATGGTCTAACTTGAGAGTTTTTAGCCTCCGAAATTCCAAGTCGTTGTCAATGATACGAATCCCATCTTCTTTTATTGTTCAGCTCCAGGAGCGTGCCATGAGGATGGAATGATTGGTGTAATTAATGCTGTACGTTCAACTATTTCATGCCACTGGGCAAGATTTGGCCACGGATACTCACGATTCTTAATCTTAGAACTCAACTCAAACATTCGCCAATCAATTGGAATACGCGAAAAACTCCTCGATACAATTCAGTCCTGGCGAAAACTTCCCCGTCGAAGCTACTTCATCCTCCTCTTCGACTGCTCGTCCGACATCTACCTCGTCCTCAGGCGACTCCCCCAGTACCACTACCTCCGCTTCCACAATAATCGTTACAGACTCTTCTCCCTCTTCTTCAACCTCCTCCAAGCTATCCCCAGGCGCTATAGCAGGGATAGCCATCGGCGCATCCGCACTCGTCCTACTAGCCAGCGCCCTCCTCTACCTCTGCGGCCGCCAACGCACCATCAAAGAAATAATCCATCACAACTCCCGTCCCTCAAACATGACTTCACATACCCATTCCAATCCGCATCACCCCGGTGGTCCCAACCCCCAATCCTATATCGCGCCCTCGGCAACTCTTTCTGAAACAACGTATTACAATAAACCTCGAAATCTCATGACGGAAAATGAAATTCGCGGGCTGGGACAATTTTCCGGCGCCGGAAGCGAAAATCATTCGCATCTTTCTGAGTCGAATATTGGGAGTGAGGGCTATGGACGGAGTCGCAGTCGGAGTCCGGGGGCGGATGAATATGGTATGGTCATTCCGCCGTTAAATTTAGGGGGAAGTGGGAGTGGGAGTGGCGGGAGAGGAGCGGAGGGAAGAGCGAGCCCGAATCATCACCAAGGGAATGTGAATTCGGGTGGAAATGTGAGTTTACCGAATAGTCCTGGAATGTCTGGATCTTTGGGTGTACAGATGGGGATGGGAGAGAGGTGGGAACGGGAAAGGGAGAGCGAGAGATTGAGGGGACTAAGGTGCGTTATTTCTGATTATCACCCCCCCCTCTTCTGATTTTTGAATATATCTTCATCCAATGTTTTATCCACTAACCACTTCAAGATCCTCTCCCTCTCCGGGAACTCCAAATCATTCCCACTCCCACGCTTCATCGTCAGGACCCCACGAATTAGCTACGCATCAGGATCGAGACAGTATGCGCGGACATGGCCATGATCGATACGATGATCCGGAAATGTGAATATTGAGTAATTTTTTCATTCCCTTTGCCTGAACTGTGGGTTTGTACCTACGTTATCTGATTTCTTCCTTTTTCTCATATGCTTTAGAAGGTTTCTTTGGGGTTTGTATTTTTGGTGTCTTCTGCAGGGTGAATGTTATTGTTCTGGAAATCCATGGTATGGCATGGTATGAGGCATAAATGAATAGAAGCTGATTTTTAACAGAGATAGGAGGTTGGCGAATCAAGGGGCGGGGATACATTCTTTTGGGATGAGGGAGAGTCGCGATGATGGTTGTGAAGAGAGTTTCGTTTTTGAGAGGCGTTGGAGTTGGAGGTTGGAGGTATAAGAGATTATATGGATTCAGCTTTGGGAAAGGCTTGGTTTGAATGAGCATGCAAAAGTCTCTAGGTGGGATAAGATATGCAATAATGACACCGCATCAAGAATAAGTTTCGAGTCTAGTGGTCAAAAAATGAACCAGTTAACACTTCTGATCATCATATCTACGTCTTGGGAAAATATAGCATAAGAAAAAGGGTATCTTCAATTCTTGTAAATCATTAACTCATCTCCAAACAAAAACGGCAACTCGAACAGTAGAAATCCTTCAAGCAATTGGTTTAACATCACTTAACCATGGCAAGCCCAACTTCTTCATATCAACCGCAATTTGGAAAAGGTAATCCAAGCTACACGGGATATCAGCATCATTTACATCACTTAAAACAAACAGTGAAATCAAAAACCTACCTTTCACACTGAGTCTTCGCTTTGTGTACCGACTCCCCCCAAACATAAACCCCATGTCTCCTCACCAGAACCGCATACGTATCTGGATACTTCTCCATGGCTTCTTCCAGATACTCCGTCAAGTCTTCTTCATGGGGTGTATTTTCAATGACTGGAATGCGCAACGTATCGTGATATCCTAAATTTCCTGTCTTCGTATAACCTTTTCCAAATGCTTTGATTTGCTCGATATTATTGATTTCAAACATTGTGGTATTGGGTGCGGATTCTAGGAGTAGGGTGATGAGGACTGCCCATTTGGAATGCGTGTGAATGCAACAACCTGCGTTTCGTTTGGTGAATGCAGCCATGAAAAGGGGGGTGCATTGGGAAGGCTTGAGATTGGGTGGTGAGCGCAGGTAGATGCGTTGTTTGGGATCAAGTTGTTTAGTTATATCGAGGACGTAAATATGTTCTGGTTTCATGAGTTCTTTTTGTACTCCGGATGGCGCAAGATATACTAGATCACTGGGAGGGTTAGTTTATGGTTGGAGTGAGAGGGAAGATGGGCATACTCATTGCGAATACTGGCGCCTCCTCCTGTACCTGTTACCCATCCTAGATGCCAAAACTTTGCACAAAGTTCTGGGATGAGATTTGCGGGATGCTGAGAATCTTCTGAAATAATAAGATGATCATTATTCTCCGATTCTTGAGTTGGGTTTTGGGTAGTCATGATCGCTGTATATACTAGGTAACTCTTTTCGCAATAATACTACCGTATATTTGAAATGTACATAAACTGAGAAGAAATCCTGCCCGTATAATTCAAAACGGATGTTCAATTGGTAGCCTCAAAGTAAAATGACAATCTTGGATTCCGCATGGAGAAAAATAAATCATGCTATGTAATTTGTTGGTTAGTGATATTTTGGTGGGGAAACACCTAGGCAAGCTCGAGGCAAGCTTCGTCTTGGCTTTGCCCCTCTTTTTCTCAAATTTTGTACTGTTGCATTGACTGACAAGTAGACCCTGCACTCAGCCTAGGATAGCTGTGGATACTTATCCCAGATAGGGTATCTGATAGAAAGAAATCGAACAGAGTCTCGGAATTGTTGAAGCAGAAGGATGGAATAAGGTAGTATGGAAGCCGACGAAGAGGAGGCTGGGAATTGATCCAACATTGAGGAAGAGACGGCATTGATACTGAAGGGGAATTGAGGTGTGTCCTTTTTGGCGACTAAACTTGTGTCATGTTAACTTTAAGTGACGACTAGATACCTAGATAGAAGTTAGATAGTAGATAAGAGGATGTAGACACATTGGTGTATTGTGTAGTGCTTGTTCAAATCGGCATTGGACATTCATACCATCCATGCGATGGATATAGGTATAGATATAGATTGTGACATGTGTACTACCAGTACCACCACTACCACCAGTCCTTGTCAAATAAAGTATCGGCGCTGGATGACTCGATGAATGATTTGATAGATATCGTCCAACACAGCTTTGTCGAAGCTCTACAATGGAAAACAATCAGAGGGGCTCAAATTGATATATGTCCAATCCAAGAGGTCTTTCTCTCTAAACTTGACCCAATCTCCATCTGTAGACAAATCAACGTCTGTTGTCATCCAAACACGTATTGTCAATTGATATCTTTTGATTCATGTTAACGAGCTCCAGTCGAGAATTCACTGATCCATCGTCATATGAAATATTCCAATATCGTAAAAGCTTCCGTAATCCATTTCGTGAGGGGAAACTCAAACCTTGTCATTACCTAGACAGCAGTCACTAGGTGTAAACCTTACCTAAACGAGTAAACGTTAAAATATAGGACACTGTGGCATATTCCTAATTCCTAGCACTTTCTCCAGGACCATAAAAGTCGCATCAATCGCTTTTTATCTTCTCTGCTCTTTTAACATCCATTGAGCTCTGGAAGCAATTCTTCAAAGTCGTAGAACTATTCTTGTCAATCTAAAGAAGGTCGATTAGAACTCAGTTCTCTTCTATTCATCATGCGTTTCCATACTACTACAGCTGCCTTTTCAGCAGCTGCTCTCTTGGCTACTTCTGTCAATGCCGATGCTCAATCTGTACTCAGTGAAGCAAGCTCTTCAGTATCAAGTGCTGCTACTGAAGCTTCTTCATCAGTCTCATCTGCCACCTCAACTGGCATTGAGCTTCCTACCTTCACTGTAAGTTCCCATTAATCTACACATTTCATACACCTCGGCAGCCTTTTCCAAAATAGTTGCTAACAATCAATTCTCTTGCAGCCTACCAAAATCACTGCCGATTTCCTCGAGCAATTCACCGATGACTGGGAGACAAGATGGAAGCCATCCCACGCCAAAAAGGACACCAAGGGTTCCGACAAGGAAGAGGAAGAATGGGCTTATGTTGGAGAATGGGCTGTAGAGGAACCCCACGTCTTCAAGGGTATGGAGGGAGATAAGGGTCTCGTTGTCAAGAACCCAGCTGCCCATCACGCCATTTCTGCCAAATTCCCCAAGAAGATTGATAACAAGGGAAAGACCCTCGTTGTTCAATATGAGGTCAAGATGCAAAGTCAGTATAAACTGTTTCCAACCTATCAATTGGCATTACTAACATCTAGCCAGATGGTCTTGAGTGTGGTGGAGCATACTTGAAGCTTCTCCGTGACAACAAGGCTCTTCACCAAGAGGAGTTCTCCAACGCATCTCCATATGTTATCATGTTCGGACCAGACAAGTGTGGTACCACCAACAAGGTTCACCTTATCATCAACCACAAGAACCCAAAGACTGGTGAATATGAGGAGAAGCATATGACCCCTGCACCAGCAGCCAGAATCCTCAAGACTACCGAACTTTATACCTTGATCATTCACCCCAACAACACTGCTATCATCAAGTTGGATGGCGAGCAAGTTAAGGAGGTCAACCTTCTCTCCGACGATTTCGTCCCAGCGTTCAACCCACCAAAGGAGATTGATGACGCTAAGGACTCCAAGCCAGATACCTGGGTTGACGAGGCCCGTATCGCAGACCCAGAAGCTAAGAAGCCCGAGGACTGGGATGAGGAAGCACCATTCGAAATCGTCGATGAGGAAGCTACCAAGCCTGAGGATTGGTTGGAGGATGAGCCTCTCAGCATCCCAGACCCAGAGGCACAAAAGCCAGAGGATTGGGATGATGAGGAGGATGGAGACTGGATCGCCCCAACCGTACCAAACCCAAAGTGTGACGATGTTTCTGGATGTGGTGAATGGGAGAAGCCAATGATCAAGAACCCAGCTTACAAGGGCAAGTGGACCGCACCTTACATTGACAATCCAGCCTACAAGGGTGTCTGGGCTCCACGAAAGATCAAGAACCCAGACTACTATGAAGACAAGACCCCATCCAACCTCGAGCCAATGGGAGCTGTAAGTAACTCGTCTTCTCGTTTTAATTCATAACACTAACATCATCATAGATCGGTTTCGAAATCTGGACTATGCAAAGCGATATTCTCTTCGATAACATTTACATTGGTCACTCTGTTGAGGATGCCGCCAAGTTCGCTGACGAGACCTTTAACGAGAAGCACCCCATTGAACAATTGGTTGAACTCGAGTCCGTTCCAAAGCCCGAGGAGAAGCCAAAGTCTCCATCTGATCTTGTCTTCGCTGATGACCCAGTTCATTACATTAAGGAGAAGCTCGACTTGTTCCTCACCATCGCCCAAAATGACCCCATTCAAGCTATCAAGTTCGTCCCTGAAGTTCCTGCCGGTATCGGTGCTATCTTTGTCACCCTCATTGCCATCATTGTCGGTATCGTTAGCATGAGCGGATCTACTCCCCCACCACAAGTCAAGAAAGCAGCCGCTAAGGCCAAGGATGCTGCTGCTGATGCCAAAGACAAGGTCTCTGAGGCCGTCGCATCAGGAACTGATGCTGTTAAGGCAGAGGTTAACAAACGCTCAACCAGAAGCCAATCGTAAATAGGAAGGGACGAAATAATGAAAGCTGGGGAGAATAGGAAGAACGAGTTAACAAGGAATTTCTCAACCAATGTGGGATCAGGAACTACCGTGTTTGCATGAATTTTGCTATATTTTTCAAAGTGCCTCACAATTACCCTTGAGTTATTGTGAATGGACTGGGAGTTTATGGTTGAAAGTTGAGTGACATGCAAATTAGGGAGCTACAGTTTGTATTTTAGGCGCATAAAATAATTCGAATGAATATTTGACTTTACTTTTTGATATAGATCCTCATTTTGGTGCATTAATATCTAACTATGAGACA